ATGTCCACATGTCTACATGCCCACATGTCTACATGCCCACATGTCTACATGCCCACATGTCTACATGTCCACATGTCTACATGTCCACATGCCCATATGTTGTCCACATGCGAATCTAATCGCCTCACTTTGGGCCCAACTCCGCCAGCCAGATACGCATCGTATGAGTTGGGCCCCAACCCCGCCAGCCAGATATGAATCGTGCGAAGGTGTAGCGCACCACCAAACACGCGGCATTCCCACCAGTTAACCGTCGAAACCATTCCCATCACCGCCCGTTTGCAGCGTCTTTTCGTGGAAACCGACACCAACGACAACCTGTCTCACAGCCCTACAAAATTGCTGAAAATGACCCGACCCCTGCGCGGACGGAGCCCTCCCCACGGTGAGGGAGAGGGGTGGTGATCGGTGGGGAGTTCACGCTGCTCTCATCAAACGGTGACACGGCCCATGGGTTGGTCAATCACAACCATATCAGGGCGCTCAGTGTGCGTGCATAATTACCGCTGGAAGCGGGACATGTGGTTCCCACTACGATTGGATGGCTGTCGTGCCTTGATGTCCTTGATTGGCTGCAGGTGTTCGGCTTACATCGTGCTGTTTCGCTCGTTAGAAGAGGTCCTGTGATTGCAAAAATCACTGCACGAATAGGTTTGCTGTGATAGGGTGCCATTTGGCTACGGCTTTTGTAATGCAAGACGCAAAATGGGTTTTGATTGAAATGGATTGTTTAACGGGTTTTAGCGAAAGGAGGAGTTTTGAAGGACTTTCGTGACCAGTGATTCTGGAGGAGGAGTGGAAGTCAATGAGTCAAATGCGATCGTTTTGAGTGTTAGACAGGATATGTCACATAGTCCCCATATAATGCAATAAGTGTTGAATAAGATATGCAACTGCTTGTTCTAGCGCCCAGATAGCGCCCAGATAGACCTTGGCAAGTCAGTCTACAGCACAAAGTTCTGGGAACGCGTGGTTGCATTCCAATGCGCAAGCAAAGGGCAGTAATCGTGAGACTGATTACGCAGATGGCAGCACGAGGACGACAATGACAGCGGATAAAGTTTTAAGGAACATTTGCGAGGATGTGGTAATTCAGACGGAATAATGGTTCGATTTGGATTCCTCGAATTATTGCCCTTGCCGGTGGTGCTATTTTCACCCACGCTTTGGCTGGCTGCTTCTCCGGCACGTATCTCAGCCGCGAAAGTTTCTGGTAGCTTCGAGTTGCGAACCCGTAATTCTGTGGGTCGCTAAATTGTGGGCTCTGAACCCGAGTGTCGAAAAACTTAAAACCTGGTCTCCACAACTGGCAGTGTGCCAGACATATCAGGCCCTTTTCAGATCCAGATGACACTTGGAGATGCCAGAAGAGTAAAAAAGCAAATCCGCTGAAAGGAGAGGAGTGAATCCGTTGAAAGAAGAAAAGTATCATACACTAACACACGCACAAACTTCAATATAAAACTCGATTGCGCTAATTTTTTTTTCTCGATAATGGTCGATCATCAATTGTGCGATTAATATGGAGAAATTTTGTGATTTCCTTGCATGTGGCCACCGGGCGTAAAAGGACCTCTGCTGAGGTATTTCGGCTGCGGTGCTTGCAAGGCCCGAATCCAACCACGAAGCTAGCAGAGGTTGTTGCATGCACCCCCAACCTACCAAGCGGGGGATGGTACTTCAGTGAGTCGGATCAGTTACCAGCTGACTGCTATGAGTGTAGTCTGCAGGACGCCTCTGTCGGGGATTCAAAGTCACGTTATATGTGCTAAGTGTTTTCCCGCTCCATGCGCTCGGCCTTGGGGACAAATTCGTCGATGTCGTCAGGTTCTCCATCCTGTCACAGAAAATCTCCAGTACTGTATTATTTGGAGTAACATACAAGCCATCGCGGGCAGGAGAACCACATTTGTAATGTCTTACAAGTGACTAATATTGCGCATTCTCGCACGTATTAAGTCTACGCTGAGTTGGGTCGCCAAGAAAAAGCAGCATCGGTAAAAGGTTGTCGGTCATCTCTGCTTCGAGATACAGCAGCCCCATGCTTAATGTTTGATTCCGCTCGCTTTTGCCGCAACACCGCCGCTGTTTCACGCTTAGGTCAGTCAGTCACTAACTAGCACATGACGTTAACGGGTGAAAATGTCGGTTACATTAGCGGTGCCAAACCTGAACCAAGTCCTGCCGATGTGCGATAATTCCTAAGTAAGCCGCCAAACACAATTTGTCTCAAATAATTCGCGAGCGAATCATCTCGGGTGTTACCAAAGCATGTGGCTAGGAGAACCAGCTTGTGATTGTTGTTTTCCCAGCTAGATATGCGAAAAGCTGTTTATTTAAGATGACCCGAACACCACCTTTCCTGGACTTCGCGTTGTTGTTGATAGCTCTGTGATAGCTGTACGCGGAATTGAGCGCTACACGGCCCAGGTAATGTCATTATCAGTCAGGCGACGCTGTTAAGGCTTAAAAAATAAAGTTACTTAAGTTGTTCAGTGCATGTGCGAGGAACATTATTCACATAGATAAGACAGTGGTAATAGCTTCTGCTATTGTTTCGATAAAGGCATGTTGCCGAAATATCAACATCCTCTTGTTTTTTCTCCGGGGAATAAGGCTATTACTACTGTCATACCTATGTTTTTATCAAAATGTTTAATCGGTCACCTTGCATGATGCGTGACGTCATCAGTTGCACGGTATAGCGAAGTGATGACCGAGTGGCTAGGGCCTTCGCTTTTGCGTGGCGAGGAGGGGGGAGGGGGGCAAATTCCGATCAAGCAATGTTATCTGAGTGCTTATGCGAAGTCTGCAGTCGCTGACACTCCGTAAAGAGGTGCGCGACGATTTGCGCCACGTTTCTCTAAAGAGGACCGGCCATTAACGATGCTTGTGACAAAACGATCGACGTCAACTATTTCGAATTGCGATGCTTGAATGTCTTGCAATCTGATGGGTTATTAAATTACGAATAAAATAAATACGATAGTAAATAAAAATACGAAATAATAATAAAAAACAAATACGGAGGAAGTTGTAAGTCGATTATTCGGCCATAAGCGGTCGCAAACGGTAGAGGGCTCCAGGCGGGGCAGAATAATATTTGATCATCGGCCGCTCCACGCTGTTAGCCTGCGGTGTACAGTGACACAAACTGCACTGAACGTTGATGGATCCATTATGTCAGGCGCCGAAGACGTCCCGACAGCAAGAAACAGTCTGCATAGGAACGGTAACAACAATGCCTGGAAACAGAGGTCAACGGTGTTGCCTTTCAGCTTAGCAGAGAACGGGAGGGAGAAGGGGATGGGCTGTCATCAGCCAGTCCAAGAAACGCGGGTCATCACGGGTCACTTGACCCGCCGCTCCCCCCCCCCCCCTCCCCGTACAGCGTGAAGTGCAGCTCATCGCTCCACTAAATACGACGACTGCCTTATTGTTGACATGCCGTCACATATGTGGCAGATACCTAAGGGCATGGGAGGATATGTAGGAGATACCTCAGGACATGTCAGCGTGTGTAGCAGATTCCTCAGGGCATGAGGGCATATGTAACAGACACCTTAAGACATGGGAGCATATGAGGCAGATACCTCAGGGTATGGGAGCATACGCAGCAGATATAGGAGCATATAAAATGCTTACTGTAGTACAGAAATAAGTTTACAACAGTTAGTGCTCTTGGTGGAAGGAATTTCCAGTACCTGTTCTCACGCATCTCATCGACTTGAAATGCATCCAGTCTGCCAAAGGGCTTTGTTTACAATTCGAGATGAGATCAGACCCAAATCATCGAAACAAAAATAATTCCCTATGTAATCTGACGTTATCCACTATATTTCAGCTGGGCTAAAATAGAATGCAACATGCAGCATGCACACGAGTACGGGCATTTGTGTCTTGCTACGCTAACATGGAGTGTTCAGCCTGTTTCTATTAACTAGTGCCACCCATTATTTGAATCCAAACCAACTATAATTTGTGTTCTTTGGTAACATTACAAGGTGTTTGAGTTCAAAGGAATTGCTAATGACAAATGACTGGAATTTTCGATACGCCATAAGCTCTCGTCATAATAAGTCAACATGCGTGTTTTCACAACTCCAGCTTTCTGAATACAAGGTACAGCGCATATATGTAATTTCAGATTGATATCCTGACAGAATGATGACTGATCGACTCGTGATCCTCAGTTTAAAAAGCGATGCGTTGCGACTTTCTTTGAAAAAATGAAACAAGGTCGGTAAGTACTCAGCTAGACAAATTCCTGACGCCGTTATCACCTCATCCGGCATAACTGGTGGAATTGCAAAGCCACTAACGGTATATTGCTCTAAACTTAAAACCGCCACCCCAACGAGGCCACTGTTCTGTGTGTTCACGCAGATAACTATCGAATGTGCTTTGTAGCAGGGAATAATTTCGCCTGTGGAATACTGATGACTGCGGACGCTAAGGTAAAAAACATATGATTAACTTCACGACTACGACAGTTAATGTCATGATGACAGTACGCATTTCAAGACATCAATGTACAAATCAAAACAAATCTGGATTCCATAAACGCATGGGATACCACGCACCGAGTACGCATGTTTTCGTGTTGAGCCCACCATAGACGATCCGTGGTGCATCAGGTGGCGTCGCATGTCTCTCAGCTTTCGCGCAACGCCGAGGAGAACTCACAGCGAGTCTTCGAGACCCAGCAAACCAACACACGAAAAAATGTGCAAAACGGCATCTGCATTTGTCGGCATCAAGACTATATCCAAATGGACAGCACAGCAGGCTAGAAACAGGACAGCAAACATGATCAGTACGGGGCAACAAGAGAACAGAAGCAATGTGAAAGTGCACCCAGTCACGGTGCTTCTCTTTCACTCTGGCAAGGCCGACTCTGGCGCGGCCGCCACTCTCTGCCAGCCGGACACACTGCGCATGCGCACAGCACACCGGGTATAAAAGCAGCGCGCGATCAGCCAGGGACAGAGTGAAACAACCTCAGCACTTCTCTTCACCTCCCCCTTCGACGTCATGGCGCTCAAAGTGGTGAGTGGAGGGAAGGAGGATTGATACGCACGCTCAGGTTTTTGCATACAAGGCGCACCTTTTTCTCAGGGGACCTTCTTTTGCCCAGGGTAGTCCATGTCAAGTATCTGTCTTGATGGATTCGTGAAGTGGCTTAAACATTTACGTCTTCAGCCGACGTTTCGGGGAAGAAGGGTACATGAAGAGAGTACACTGCTATATCTTCATGCAGACAACAAAAGAGGCGAAATAACACATGTCACCCGCGCCTGGGACACGGCTGGGAGTGCTAGGGGAGGTCAATAGCTTGCGGGCCTCCTCCACCGCTGCCGCTGGCCTCGCACCTCCGTCACAGCTCGTGTTCGTTTTCAGATCAGCCTGCTGGCGTGCGCCGCCCTGGCCGCGGCCAACGTCCACCCGCCCCAGTACGGCGGCCACCCGGCTCCCCCACCACGTGAGTACCGCCTCCTAGCCCTGGCACCACCGGCCCACCGACGAATGCTGCGCGCTGCAGAGCTTGCGAGTCGCGGCCAAGCCGCTCCTGGTCGTGGTCCTGGTCCTGGTCCTGGTCCTGGTGCTGGTGCTGGTCCTGGTCCTGGTCCTGGCTCCAGCCGGCTTACCCGGTGTTATGACAGAGGACTGTATGATGACTGCGTGCTGCTACATGCCGTATCGTTGGGAAAAACAAAGTCTAATAAACTGTTCCTCTTAGCGCGTGTCAGTTCACTACAGCTTCATCCAACTCTTAACCTTACTCACTGCTAGCCCCCCCCCCCCCCCCCTGCCCTAAACACGCCGGCTCTAACCGTCCGTGTCCGTCAGGGCGCCTACAAGCAGCATTACTGCGACCCCACGGCGGCCCCGGCCTGCGCAGCCAACAGCAGCGCCACCTACTGCGTTGAGGACGCCGAGTACCCCGCCTACGAGATCAAGGCAGCCATCGCGCAGGACCACCTCTTCGCCAAGAAGTACGCCGACATCGGCACCCAGTCGGCCGACGACCTGGTCGAGGGCCTGACCAAGGAGCAGGAGGAGGCGTTCGACTACGGCTTCTACACCGGCGCCTCCACCGGCGACAGCCCGTATGATGTGACGCACTGGGCTGGCCCCGCCGGCTACATCTGCCCCAGCGACGTGGCCTACGCCATGCCGCGCCGCGCCCAGAACGTCGCCGGCGAGTGGCGCGTTATCGTCAACGACGTGCACTACTACACTCAGACTGCCAGGTGAGTAGACAGGTCCGGGTTCGATCCCTGTACCGGGAAGGAGTTTTTCCGTGGTTGCAAAGCGACAGTCGGCCTGACGGTACCACACCCATGCCATGGCACTTGCATGGGCAGATAAAGGACCAAGTTGCTGTTGGTAGGATGGGATGGAGGTGTCGGACACAGAAAAGGTTGACGACGGTAGATGATCGGGAGGTGAGAGGCATAGCCCCACTGGATGATCATGCCCCAAGGTTATTCTCAGAATATGTACACGAGATTTAACACACTACCCGCACTTTGTTAGAGTTGTCCCTCAGTGTCCGTTGTAGACCCGGTTACATGATGTCTTATGAATAACCCCCGCGGCCACGGCCCTCCCGCCGGCTCGGAAACGTGCGTATTGGCGGGCTTCTGTGTCCTGACCTGACCTGACCCGCCTCCGCCGCCAGGGTGGAGACCTGCCTGTACCCGGACGCCGCCTGCCGCGCGCTGGCCCCCTGCTACAAGAGCAAGTGCACGCAGAAGTACATCTACCACCGCATGCTGTCGTTCGACCCTTGCGACCCGTACAAGGGCCTGTTCATCGACATCTACCGCCTGCCGAGCGCCTGCAGCTGCCACGTGGCCGCCCACTAGAGGCGCCACGTGAGCCAATGACGTCACAGACACCACGGCGAGCGAGCACAGCGAGGCCCAGCGCCCGCTGACAAGACTCCTCTCCCCCCAGAGACTGCCGCCGCGCCGCCGCCGACCATCAGGACCCGTGTGTGCTGGCTCCCCGCCTGCGTGTCGCCCCTGTCCTCTCCTCTGTCCTGTCCCTGCTGAGAGTAGCAAAAACAAGCAATAAAAATGGCATAACGAGTATGTGGTGTCGGTGGTGCTGCCAGAGGCGGCGTGAGGCGTGAAGGAGAGGCGGCTTCAGCAGCTGCAACGGTCGGTGGGTCATCGCACGGCCGCCGCTGTCCGAAGCGGCAGGGAAGGGTCTGAGGTCTGAGGGTGATCACGCCAAACCGAGGTCGAGCTGGCGAGGACCTGGGAAGGCAAACCACCAGCTGCTGGACCTGGGGCAGCTACAGGGAAAAACACTGCTGATAAGCAGTGTTTTTAACGATAGCATAGCATAGATAAGCAGTGTTAAAACCTACGCTACCTGCACCCCGTCAACTAGAGCTTTATGACGCAAAAGTAAGATTAATGAAATATGTGGATAGAGATTATTATAAAATTTTAACATTGTAAGTTGTTGCCACCTATGCCCATTCGC